TAAATGTGACTATGAAGAATATAGGTTAAGTGCTACCTTTGGCAGATACATAGCCAAAACTTGTAGAATTTTAGAACTGGAGGGATCTTGGTGTTCACCTCATCAGGGTTCTTATTTTATAGTGGAAAATAATTTGTAACCTAGGTACTGCTAGTATATTGTTAAAGTTGTAGAATATTCAGATTTAGTTCCAGTATATTTTAGGGAGTACAAGAGGTGGAGTGTCAGTGGTCAGATGGAAAAAAAAGTGGCTTTGTGACTCACTTTTTTCTTTTAATTCTCTGTCTCCTTTTGAGTTATGAGAAGTTTTTTAAAACCCCCTAATTTGCTAATAAAGTGCAGAGAAAGAACTTTAGGAACGTGGCCAGTTTCTTTGAAAGTTAGTAACAGTGCCAAGATTAAAAGCATACCCTTAAATATCGAGACAACTTTTATTTATATAATGTCAGTCACTGTAACACCTGTTTAGCCTGTTGAGCCATGCTGCCCTTCAAATGCCCCTGTGAAGCCGCCTGGAGCAGGGTCAGCCAGCAAGCCTGTGAGGGACAGCAAGTGAAATAACAAGAGGAAATGTCTGAGAGCGTCCCTAACGGTAAAAGAAAAGACAAATGTTGGTATCTGAATTCTTCCAAACCTAAGTAGTTTGTCTTATGGTAGCAGAGCCATTCTACTAATGGGAACACCAGAGTTTTTGTAAATTTAAAAAAAGATACAGCTGTCTCTTAGGATTTACTGACTTAATGGCTGGCAAAGAAGCTAAAGTCTAAATGTTTTAGGCAGTGCCAAGCTGCACTGTACAATTTGCCTCAAGATAATGGAAACAAACATTCAAAGTGGTTTTTACTCTCTTGGAAATAAACATGATAGGAAGCATGCAACAGACTGAGGATTCTCAGAGGAAAAGGGTAGGGAGGGGCGGGAAGAGATTGACCAAAGAATTTATCCTATATGCGTAAGTCATGGACATAGACAATAGTGCAGTGAAGGCCTGGGGAAGGGGCAGGATTGGGCAGGAGAGGGTCAATGGAGGGAGGACATCTGAAATACTTTTAACAGTAAAGATGATTTTAAAAAATAATAATAATGTTTTGAAGGTTGTACTAAAAGTTGCAATACTACATTTAAAATGTAAAATGCATAAAATGGCAAATATGTATTTTAATGCTTAGGTAATAAGTGGCATTCTTTGTTACTAAAACAGTTCAATGACTTTGTCCTAAGCTAAAGTTTCTATAAGAATGTGTTGTTGCTGAAACCGGTTTGGCTCAGTGGATAGAGCGTCGGCCTGCGGACTAAAAGGTCCCAGGTTCAATTCCAGTCAAGGGCATATACCTTGGTTGCGGGCACATCCCCAGTAGGAGATGTGCAGGAGGCGGCTGATCGATGTTTCTCTCCCATCGATGTTTCTAACTATCTCTCTCCCTTCCTCTCTGTAAAAAATCAATAAAATATATTTTTTTAAAAAGGATGTGTTTATTAAATATGAATGTAAAATAATGTTCATGGCATAAGTCAGTGCTTTTCAGCCTTTTTCATCTCATGCATGGTAACATAAACTAATTACTAAAATTCTACAGCATGCCCAAAACATTCTTTTTTGCCGATCTGACAATAAAACGTAGGCATAATTTTGATTCATTCACCCTAGACAGGTGTTGTTGTGTTGACTATTGTTGTTTTTTTATTGAATTTATTGATATGACACCCTATATAATAAAGAGCTAATATGCAAATGGTCATCACGCCATCACACTGTAACGGCTCAGACACTCAACACTGGGGAGAGAGGAATGGGGACCAGCCAGGCTGCGGCCCAGGAGAGGGACAAGCCACCTGCCCCACAGTCCCGGGCGTCAGCGGCTGCGCCTGCACCTGCAGCCTGGGAGAGGGACAAGCCGCCCAATCCACAGTCCCCTGCGGCTGCGGCCGGCCCGAGTGAAGCCAGCCCGGGTCCTGGGTACCTGCGGCTGGCCAAAGGGAGGGAAGCCCAGGTCCTGGGTGTGGGGCGAGGCAGAGGCGGTTAGGGGCAATCAGGCCAGCAGGGGAGCAGTTAGGGACGATCAGGCAGGGAGGCAGAGGGGTTATGGGTGACCAAGCAGGCAGGCGAGCAGTTAGAAGCCAGTGGTCCCAGATTGTGAGAAGCAGTCGGACATCCCCCGAGGGGTCCCGGATTGGAGAGAGTGCAGGCAGGGCTGAGGAACCCCCCCCCCCTTGCCCCCATGCACGAATTTTGTACAACTGGGCCTCTAGTTGGTTCATAAAATTATATGAGTTTCAGGGATACAATTCTACAATACATCATACTTTATTGTGTGTTCACCACCCAAAGTCACATTTCCTTCTATCACCGTTTTTCCCCCTTTACGCTTTTCTACCTCTCCCCACCCCCTTTTCTCTCTGGTAATCACCATACTGTCATTTTTTTATTTGACAGTATAAGGCAGTTGTTCTCAACCTTGGCTGCACATTAGAATCACCTGGGAATCTTTTTAAAATGCTGATTTCTGGGCCTCATCCTCCGGAAATTCTGTTTCTTTGTTACTAAATGTTGTGGCCCCAGAAGATAAGTTACTACAAGTGTTTATAGGATATTGTTAGAAGAGTTTCTACTTGAGAATTCAAGTCTTATTTTCTCTTAAGAAAAATGTAGTTATATCCATTTTATATTTTATTTTATAAGTTCATGTTATGCTTTGATGTCTAATTCAATCTCATTTTCTTTTGTATAATTACTGCTAACTTTTTTAAAAATGCTACATATTTCAAAGGGAAATAATGTTTAAAAGATGTGAAACATTTAATCCTTGAATGCTGGAACCACTTTTAAAGTATCATAAGCACATCTGTAATACATTACAGAGGGAAAAGAGTGTATGTGTTCTGTGGCCTATGGGCACTAGGGTGGCTGGTTTAGGAAAACTGAGTATTTTGCATTTTGAGTTTTAACAAAAAAAAATACTCTGATTCTAAAATGAAGAACTTAATCTCAGGGGTGAGCTTTGTGGTCAGGCAAACGTAAGTCAAGTTTTGGTTTCACATTTATTCTCTCCCTTGTCACCTACTTCTTAAAAAGAAATCAGTTTTTCTACAGTGGGCTTGCCTTTGCATTCTGTTTTTTAAGTACTTTTGTTTTCCCTTATTTGATAACTATGACATGGGAAAAACTTAGAACAAAGAAATCACTATACTAGGAGTTCTTAGTAAGTGTGCTACATGTCTCAGTCAGCTGCAGGCTATGAAGTAAATAATTTTTTACTAATTAAGAAATAGCAAGGTTTGTGAAGGATTTACTCTTAAAACAAAACTACAGCAGACTCAAGTGTACCCCAGTGATAACTTCACACTTGGATCACTTGTATTCCATTATGCTTTTTTGGGCAGGAGGGGAAAAGGTGGAGTTAGAGCTGTCAGGGCTGGGTATCCCTTGGGATGTGTGTTGTGTATGTGAATATCATCTATCATTGGTAGAGACAGAGAAGAAAAGTTAGAGAACTTCTGTGCTCTGTTGGTGGATATGATCTCTATTGTTTTCCTCTTTGACATGACACGATATTCACATGCCAGCACATTCCTATATGCAACTAAGTCCCAGTAAGCCAGCCGAAATTCCACCCCTTTCGATCCTATTCCAGAAAGCAGGCAAGGGAGCATGTTAGGGGAATGCATCTTTAATCAACTCACATTTTTTTAAGTAATGGCATGATGATTTCATATCTTAAGGATATGAGCATCTAAGAACCTGTGATACATTTGACAGCTATTTCATATATACACCATGGCTAATAAACTCCATATTTCTTAAATTTTGTGTTTTTGCCTCATTCAGGAACCTAAATCTGTTTTTTAAAATTTTTTAAATAAAGGAAGGTCGTATTTAATTGTATGGCAATATAAATTTTTAGAAGCTATCATTGGAATGAACTTCTTTTATAAAAAAAATTCTTTATTGTTTAAAATATTACATGAGTCTCCTTTTTTCCCCATTGACCTCTCCCCCGCCACCCCCTCCTCCAAGCACAAGCCCTCACCCCCCGCCCCGGTACTGTCTGTGTATTGGTTTTGCTCATATGCATGCATACAAGTCCTTTGGTTGATCTCTTACCCCCTCATCCCCCATCTTCCCTCATAGGTTGTGCAGTCTGTTCGATGCTTCTATGTCTCTGATTCTATTTATGTTCATCAGTTTATGCTGTTCATTATATTCCATAAATGAGTGAGATCATGTGATATTTTATCTTTCTCTGACTGGCTTATTTCGCTTAGCATAATGCTCTCTAGTTCCATTCATGCTGTTGCAAATGGTAAGAATTCTTTCTTTTTTACGGCAGCGTAGAATTCCATTATGTAGATGTACAGTGGGGCCTTGACTTATGAGTTTAATTTGTTCCGAGACCGAGCTCGTTAAGGAGCTCGTTAACTCAAATTACTCTGTCAACTCAAAGCAAAAAATCCGCCGAGAGAAAGCTGGTATCTCAAAAAACTTGTTAGTCGGGACACTCGTAAGTCAAGGCCCCACTGTACCACAGTTTTCTAATCCACTTTACAAAAGTATTTTGTAGCCAGTTATTTTACTGACATACATTACTAGAAATTATCATGGAATGGTGTTTATTTTTCTTTTAAGGCTCAAACTAAGTTTTTTTGAGGATTTTTAGATAGTCATTAGATACCATTTATCCAAGATAATTTTATGATACATAAAACGTAGATATTATGTTAAAGTTAGTCTTTATTCCTTACTTGATATAAAAATTAATGACTTATCCTAGAGCTTTCCTAATGTCTGTTTATTTGATATGCTTTTGATTTAGCTTTAGAACCTTCATAATAATAGCTTTTACCTTTTTTTTAATATTAAATTTACTATATTATAAGGAAATAGCTACTGGATTAATGTTATCACTTTAAAATTTTTTTAATGTAAGGGACTCTGATAAATGTTATTTATGAGTAGTTTTTAATATTAAGAGCATTTTCTTGTTTTGCTTTTTTATTATAAGATATTATGAACTGGATCCTCACAAGAGTCTCCTTGACAATTTGAGGAACAAAGTGATCATTGAGTACCCAACATTACATGTGGTATTGAAAGAATCCAGTAAAGACATGAACGTTCTTCACGAAGGTAAGTATCAATTTGTTCCTGTAATGTTCAGAATAACTCTAGTGAGACCAAGCAATAGGGCCATCTGTATTACCTTACATATGTGTTTTCCCAGTAGATTTACACACGTTTACTCTATAGCTACAGTTAATACTGTAAGTGACAAATGAGCTGCTCCTGTCTGGTTTGAGAGAATGTAAGCTATCAATTTTAAAATGACTGAACCAGTTTAAATGCCTGGCTATAAAAGGATGCTCTTTGTCTTACATGAGTCCTATGTGTTACTTACCTTAACTCAAAACCATTAGATACCATTTTCAGTTAAGAATTATAGGTATAGGCCAAGTTTCATTGTAACAAACTCCAGGTTAATATAAAGTCCTTGGATTGGATTGAACTCTGTTGTTTAAGATAATATTACCTGAAATATGTAATTCGGTTTTATTGCTATTATTGACTGTAACAGGAAGTAACCTTTACTGTAATGTCTTCTCTGGACAGTATATAATAGCTCTTATTCTTGGGAAAGTTAATAGGGAAAAATAATTTTCCCAAGTGGCCAAAATTTTATCAGTTTCACAATTTGAAACTAGATTTTTAATTAGCAAATTTGAAGTTTCTAAGAATCAATTATGGATTTCTAAATCTTAAGGTTAATTCTTTTTTATATTTTTTACAGTTTGAAAATAGCCGGGGGGTTTTTTCCTCAAATTAAATAAGAAATTTTACTTTTAAGTGACCAGTTTCACTTTTTTTTTAAAGTTGTATAAAACCTTGCTTTTTCCTTAACATAATTCACATAGCTCTCTCTCTAAATGTTGGTTTCAGGGAAAGTTGTTTAGTAATGTGGGTTACTAGCCAGGGCAAACATTGTCTGTGTAAATAAACATGCACACACAGCACCTCTTTTACCTTGTTTAGGAATGCACATTGAAGTAAGGCTTCCTGTAACGAAGCAAAAAGAAAAGCTACTTTTGTAGTGCACTTGGAACCTTCTTAAGAAACATTTGCTCCTTTTTGGTAGGTGTATGATGTTTGACTTATCTACAGGAAGCACAAGTGACTTGTGCTTTCAGTATAGAGGATAGTTTAGAACTGCTCTAGCAAAGAACTAAGGATGATCCGACAGGATTTGAAGGAGCATACCAGTGTTGTCATATCATAAGTACACATACTTTAAAAAACAATGCCAGGCCTTCCCATACATGCATTTCTTTGTGTAAACACTTCAAGGTATCTGTTTTGTTTTGTTTTGTTTTGGGGGGCGGGGGTGTACCTTCTCAAACCATTGGATAGTCTTCAGGGTGGTCCCTTAATACAGAAGGGTTATATAAGAATAGGACATTTTCTTTGGAAAGCCTTGAAATTCTCTCTCCAAAGCCAAAAACCTGAATTTTTAATCTTGAGTTCATAGCACAAGGTGTCTCTCTTTTAGTTTTGGGGAAATGTGTTTCTGGGCTTGGATTCAGTAGTTTTCACAGTTGATGGTTGTTATAATGTTTGTTATTGTAGATTGCTATAATTTACTTTGTTCCCTATGTTGATGAGCAATAGGCAAGTTTTGTTTGCTTGCTTTTTGCTTTTTAAGGAATGAAAAAAGTTGACTGAAAAGATTTAGCAGTTAAGGTAACTCACTAGATTGGAGAGTAGAGTGCTAATCACCCATCTTGTTTCAATCCAGTATGAAGTGATCAGAATAGTGTTACTTGCTTCACAGGTCTTTGTTTGCCAAAATTAACTAGTAGATCAAATGACTTGATGAAAGCGTGCTTCATTTCAGTCTAAGGAAAAAGAATGGCGCTCTATTAAAAGAAAACAACTGGGCAACTTCAGTAAGCAAGGAAAGGGAAAAAGTTCGAAAATTGCAATGCCAAGTAGTACAAAGCCCCATTAATTTAAAAATACCAGCACAATATATTTCTCTGTTGTTCTAAGATAACTAAAAATTAGAAAATGCCTCTGCCTTTGAGAAGGAATCCAACCCAAAATTGATTAATTGAATTAGTGAAAATACCTGGCATAGCAGCTGCTCATACATCAGTCTGTTGTTGGGCCAATGAATCCTTTCATCCCTTCTTCTTCTCTCTCCTCGTGAGCTAATGGGTAGATCTCAGGAACACAAATGTAAACTTTACAGTTCAATAGGTGCTAAATAGAGGTTGCATTAAGTGCAAAGAAAGCCAGAAGAGACAACAATTTGTAATATGGAGACACTTGAAGGACGCTGCTGGAGTTTATAAAATTCCACAAGGATGAGGGCATATCTTGGATGGAAGCTATTTCAAGGCCTTATTCATAAACACCAGTTTGGTTGCTGGTACAATCTTAAATCTAGGTACTATCGGCAAACCTCAAAGAACTTGACAATTGGAATATGAGGTTAGATCCAGGTTTAAGATTGTAGCACCAACTCTTATTAGGTTTGGGCCCTTGAGCATTTACTCTGCCTCTCTGAGCTCTGTTTTTCTTATTTACACAGTGGAGATAAACAGGTATAAACCTCAAGCAAAATAATCTCTATTTTAACCTTAATTGTTATAGTGTTTTTATATATTATTTCCTTTTAATTTCACCATACAATGAAATTAATAGAGTAGTCATTCTGGATCTCATTTTGCAGATTAAAAAAAAAAAAGAAGAAAGAAAAAACAAAAACCTAATCATCAGAAATATGCAAATTAAAATCACTTTACATCTGCCAGAATGGCTATCATCAGTAAATCAACAAACAACAAGTATTGGCAAGGATCTGGAGAAAAGGGAACCCTCGTGCACTGCTGGTGGGAATGCAGACTGGTGCAGCCACTGTAGAAAACAGTATGGAGTTTCCTCAAAAAATTAAAAATGGAAATTACCTTTGACCCAGTGATCCCACTTCTGTGAATATATCCTAAGAAATTTGAAAGAATATATGCATCCCTATGTTCATTGTAGCATTATTTACAAAAGCCAAGATTTGGAAGCTGCCCAAGTGTCCATCAGTAGATGAGTGGATAAAAATATTGTGGTACACTTACACAATAGAATAGTACTCACCTGTTAAAAAAAAAAAAAGAAAAAAGGAAAGAAAGGAACTCTTACCTTTTGCAACAGTATGGATGACCTATATTAATGCTTAGTGAAATAAGCCAGTCAGAAAAAGACAAATACCGCCGAAACCGATTTGGCTCAGTGGATAGAGCGTCGGCCTGCGGACTGAGAGGTCCCAGGTTCGATTCCGGTCAGGGGCATGTACCTGGGTTGCGGGCATATCCCCAGTGGGAGATGTGCGGGAGGCAGCTGATCGATGTTTCTCTCTCATCGATGTTTCTAACTCTCTATCTCTCTCCCTTCCTCTCTGTAAAAAATCAATAAAATATTTTTTTAAAAAAAAGACAAATACCATATGCTTAGTGAAATAAGCCAGTCAGGAAAAGACAAATACCAGATTATATATATCATCTAATGAACAAAATAAACTGACAAACAAATTAGAAACAGAGGCATGGAACAGACTGACAGCTGTCAGAAGGAAGCGGGGGTTGGGGAACTGGATGAAAGAAGGTGAAGGGATTAACCAAAAAACATATACATGACACATAGACGCAGATAACAGTGTGGTGATGGCCAGAGGGAGATGGGGGTGGGAGGGTAGGTAGAGGTGGGCAAAGGGCTGGGTAATGTGTATGGAATGAGACCTTGCTTGGGGTGATGGGCGCACGATGCAGTGTGCAGAGGATGTTTTATTGAGTTGTACACTTGAAACCTGTATGGTTTTGTAAACCAATGCCACCCTGATAAGTTCAGTAAAAAATAAATAAAATAAAATTCTGAGTCTTCATAAACAAAACTGAAAAAGTGACTTGCATTTATATTGATACCACAAACATGCTACCCCAGGAGATAGATATAGGGAGGAAAGGTGCAGTCTCTGTCCTCAAGTTTAGTGAGTGATCATAGACTTGCATGCTCTAGTCGAGGCAGCTCCTTTAAAGGAACTCCATTTCTGCTCTGAGTCGTCTTGTGAAAGGAAGGACATGGCGATTAGCTAGTCTTCTGTCAGCCCACATTCACTCAACGTATACTGCCCCTCAATTTTAAGTTTAAAAAATATCATGGAAAAGTTTATTCCAACCACACTTGGCTAGCCTATGTGATAATCGCAATCTATTCGGTGGTATGAGTGTGGGATCCTAACCACACTGTGAATGACCATTCTCAAGTCTTCCACACAGTCAGGAAGGATGTTACCTCACAAAATATAATTGCCACTTTCAGACATCATTTCTCTATTTACTGTGGCCAGAATTGTATATCCCGGCTGCCTGGGACATGACATGGTTTGTCTACCCCTGTGAACAGTGCTATTGGTATGCATCAGAAGGAGAAGAGAAAAGGAAAAAACAGAACAGGCTAAATAGAAACAGTATAAACATGTGACTGTATGTTTATTTATTTTTTTTCAGTGAAAAGTGAATCTACCAAGAACATTGGCAATGAAAATTGAGCACTTCTGGAGGAAGGAAATATCGAGGTTGCAGAGGACGATGCATTGATTAACTACTGTTGGGTGATTGGGTGTATTGTCAGTGGGTTTGTGCGATTTTTTGTTTTTCTGAAAAGTAAACAATCTAAAAAATTTTTTTTTTTTAAAAAAAGATGTGTTTTCTAGCCTCTTGAATTGACTTACGAGACCTTATTCCTATTAACCCCTCTTTTGCACCTGGTTGTCATGCTTATTTTAATTAGATCCTGGCTTTTAGTATGTTCAGTTATATAGTCTGAAACATTTTCTGATTTGATACAAGGCCAAACCCAAGGATCACCTTTGTCAGCCACAAAGGTGTCAAAAGGCCATGTGACACACCAGCTAACCACCAGTTGCCCATTCTTGCCTTTGATATTTATATGTAACTGACCCTCTTGAGATAAATGAATGGGTCTTTTCTACTTGGTAACACCCAGTAGTATGTCCTATATAAAGGCTAAATAAATACATTTAGCTACTATTTCTTATATTCAGTCAGAAAGTTAGCAACTCCACATCATTGTTTGAACTATCAATGCTCACAAATGTGGCCGCACTTGTTCTCACAGTGAGCTGTGTCTTATGAATTCTGTGCCTTTTATCCATTTTCACTCCACTCTTGTCATTGCCACACAGGGGTGTTGTGATGACCAGTGTTAGGCTGTGTTTTGAAACATCCAGCTATAACTGAAGGAAAAACACTTGGAACTCTTTAGTGTTGTTGGATTGTATATGTGTATGTATGATATACCTGGCTTAATTTATACCTTATGGCAGCTCTGTATACATTATGATCTCACATATTGAAATTAAATGTTCCTAGTTTTATTCGAATTCATACAGTTATGAAATTGCAGCATGACTATAAAAGAGTAAAAGATTATTACATCTGTGTTGCATCTGTGTACTTAATGGTTAAGAAAAACAAAGATAAAATTGGACATTGGTGATATCCATTTTTAGTTTATGATTGGAATAAGTTTTAGACCAAAAGGAAACCAAAGGCATTAATTTAAAGAGATTTGGAAAGATTAGAAATATGAAAAAATACATAATGAGAAGATGAGCCTAGAAGAAACTTGTAGAACACAAATATATAAAACTTGTGGTAGAAATTGTGGAAGAGAATCCAAAGACAGTAATGCCACAAAGACCAGCTGGTATAAAATTGTGGAAATGGGATTTATAGGAAATAAGTTATTGCAATCTAAAATACATATACTTCCTAAAGTAACTTCAGGAATCTTCTCCCTCAGTCAGTAAAAAATTTCTTTAGAATTATGTCATTCACAGTACTGTTGGGGAGACAACTAAATGGCATTTCAGAGGATTCATATTTAATCTAAAAGGGAAATTTGTCTTCTTGAAACAGGCAAGAAATAGAATGAATTGAATCAAAAGTGTGAATAGATGAATAGAATTGTTATTGGGAAAAGTGGGGCGAGGTACATAAATGAACATGTGATCTGAAATCAGGGTGGAGAGGAATTTCCTGACAGTGAAATCTGTTATGATGTAGTCTCATTTCCAAGAAAAGTGTTGAGTTTCATCTCTTTTAGAATTTAAACTGAAAACTGGACAAAAACCAAAGAATTTATACTGTGTTTTCCCCCTGCCCAGAAGGGGAAAAAAATCTACATGATGTAATAATGCATCTTTGCCATCTCTATAGAATTGTACTAAACTTTTCAATTATAGACTATTCCTTAGGAAAGAATTTAACTAGCACAGTTCCCTTAAATGAACTATCAGCTCATGTGAGTAATATGCACTTTTATTCCCATAGGATTTACAATAAACATGTGTTTTAGTGAATAACCATGTCAACTGCTTGGAGGGGGTGAAATTGGAATAATTGAGGGCTCTAGAAATTTGTAGTATTAACACCCAATGTCTTTTTTTAGAGTCCCTTTCCATTTTGAATTCTTGACAAATTCTGATGCATAAACAAATTCCCTGACCCATGTTAAGTGCAACATCCTGCATTTTGTTCATGACTCACATTTTAAAAGGAGTAAAGCTCCACCTGGCCTTCGTTATTTTTTAAACAATGATTTCAAAGAGAAGGTAGGCCTTTCATAATTGCTAATTATTATATGTGGGATTATTAGCCATAAATTACTGTAAACAAATCTTGCACCTGTTCACATTATAAATATAAATTAAAGAGAATTACTATCATTTAACTCTATAACTTAAATATAATTTAAATTTAACTATGTAATTTAAATATAAAGATATTTAAGAATACAAAGTGTAGTTGAGCCAATTTGTTTCCCTGTAGCAAGTGGTGGGACTCAGGCTTCATGATGTAGAGTAAATCATTAAACACATAACTGTAATGCCAAAAATTTCCTTTATACATTTTGTTTAATTTGGTTGACATATACAAGTGACATATACAAGATACCTAGTTTGCTTTTATTTAATCATACACCACTGCATTAAACTGTGTTGAGTTTATTCTCAGGTAGATATTGTGTACTTTTGATTATTAATCAATTGTCCCTTAGGAACTCAACTCAAAGTAGTGTCAGCCTGAAGGGCAGTCAGTTTATTAGTTCATAAACAGGAAAGTTTATCTAGATCCAAACACCCAAAGAAGCCATCTTTCCATCATCTCCCACACTTGCCTCTGGTTTTTTTCTTCCTGGATTGGTTTTCTCATCTAAGCAGACTCTTTAGGGATGCTCTTTTTGGGGTGGGAGACAGCAAGGTGAGGATGTTGGATGACAATTTAAGCTTACTTCATCTTAACCAAAGCATGGTAGTAAGTTGTGTAGAATGTGGGGGAAGAACTTTGATTTTGTCCAGGTTGGATCGCCTTTCATCCCTGAGCTGATCAGGAGAGGAGTTCCCCCAAAAGAAAGGGAAATGATCAGAATACCAAGCACTAGGCTCTCCTGAGACAGCCTGCCATTTCCTCACCTGGCTTCACCTTCACCAAGAGTTAAGAATTTGAGCACACATGCATTTGTGAACAAGGGCTAGGTGAACAACGGAAATGATTCATCTTATTTCGGGCAGCATTATTGATAGGGGTTACTATAAATTATTTTACAAATGAGAAAACCAAGGAACATAGATGTTAAAACTTATTCTTAGGTCCAGCTGTTAAATGATAAATAATGGAGCTTGGATGTTTTTCTTCTCTTAATTCCTGTCTGTACCTGGCATTATCTTTCTTCCTGTCTATATAAGTATTGATAAAATTATTCTGTATTTACTGGTCTTGAAGGCCAAACCTGTGGTTGATACTTACATCATCACAGCATCAAGCACAGTTTCTGGCATAAAGTTAAGCCCTCAATAAAGACGAGGTGTTGAGATGAGGTGGGAGGAGTAGGGAAGTTCTCCAGGTTGAAAACAAAAAAACTTTTTAAGGCTTTCTAGTACATTGTTATCTCCCAGTCTATAGGAAAGCCCCTGACTCAGGATAATATTAGTAGCTGAAAACTCAGAACTTAGCATAAGCTAGGCACCACTCTAGGCACATTATAGCTGTGAATCATTGAATCCTCACGATCCTGTGAGGTGGGCACTGCTGTGTTTCATGGAATCCAAAATGTCATTAATTAAAAATGTGCCATTTAATGTAACACTAAGAAAGAAAAAAAAATGCTGCCAAGCTTTGCGCAGTGGCAGTATCATAGCCAGTGAGGTTTATCCGAGGCGCGATTATTGCTAATTGAAAAAAAATGCTGCCAATTAAATTATAATAATGCTTTTTTTTTTTAAAGTTTGACACATTTATTGCTGTTTACTAAAGACATTCATCTCAGCTGTTTCTCCCATCGTGACCATATGTTAATATTTCATTTGAGTCAACAAAAGAATATGCAGCACATGCTCTGTAAAATGGTCAAAAATTAAGTTTGCCTACATTGTAGCGAGTTAAATTTGTGTGTGTTGATATAATTAAATCATGTAAGTAAGAACTAATTGTTCTATGTACATTTCTATTGTTTTGCTTGGGGCTTACTCTAAGCTTAAATGCAAACAAACACGGTATTAGGAATATAGGCAGGCTACTTCTCTGGCATTATGATATAATGCTTTTTAAAAATTTACTTTTGGGTGTTTATACAAATGTAAACAGCTCTTTTTTGTCATTTTATTTCAACAATCTAAGACTCCCCCATTGTAAGATATAGCATTTTGTATACCACCAAGAACACGGCTTAATTGTGTGATATATCCATCCTGACTTGAGATGTTAAAATATTAAAAAAATAATATAGAATTGATGTAATGTAGTATCGAGACAAATTTTTATTTCATTTTGTGCTTATATAAAAGGAAACACATAAGTGAAATTAACTAGGTAAGGCATTCCTAACGCTTCAATCTGACATTTGTGACTGAGACCTCGTGATGCAGCGATTCTCAGTGAAGTGCTCCACAACTGTTGCCGTGATTTTCATTAAAGTTCTGCAACTTTCGATGTTGTTGTTAAGAAGGGTTTCTATTCACAATTGGGACAATGATTCATGGACTGAAACCTTGAAGGCTTGCAGTTGTCCATTCATGCCTCCTAAAGCAACGACCAAGTCTCCTTGTGCACAAACAAGGACAACTCCATCGAGACTGAGGCCTGGCCAAAGCTGTTTGAGACTAAAGATTTCACAGATGCTACAATTAAGTACAGTACTATCGTCCCCACTTTATATGGGCAAGGAAACTGAGTCCCAAACAGATTGGTCACATGGAAAGTAAATAGATGGGCCAGGACTCAAATCAAGGCAAGGTGGGCTTCAGAGGACAGCCCTGAAGTGGACTCGGCCATCGTGAAGTCATACTCTATTTCATGATGACTTGGAGTGAATACTATAGTTTACTGCCACTTAAAAATGGAAAAAAAGTATTTTAATAAGCTACTTTATCAGCTTATTTTTCAAAAAGGTAGGCCCGTTTTTTCACACTATGTGAAACTGCTTTTCTTGGAGGCTTTTCTCTTCAACGTTGGGCTGCAGGCTGTGTTTCTCTGAGCATGTTTAGTTTCTGTCTTTTATTCATGTCACATACTTCGCTGGTTTGGGCATAAGAACTAATCACTTCAGTTCGTTTAAAACCAGGTATTAGTGCTGAAGCCATTTTCTTTCAGTGGATTTGAGGATATTAGTATCAAGTCTGTTTCAGTGTCCATTATGAATTAGGCGCCGCCGAGTTGAGCTTGGCGCACAGCAGTTGCAGCAGACCTCGGGGAGTAGCTATCCAGGACTACATCGATGAATGATGAAGGGGCTCACGTGTAAAGGACAAAAGGACGCAAAGGCAACTGTTAATGATTGTCACACTGGCTTTATGTTGAGCCGTAGGAGGAACATGTGCGTGCCTCGCTGGGAACTCCGTCTGAAAGCTGCTGGGCCTTGCCTATGGACAGCACAGGCTGGGGGGTCAGGCCGGGGGCAGTTAGGACAACCAAACGAGAAGTATGGTTTCAGGACCTGTTGGAATTCTGGGGAACGGCTTCAGAAGTGGAAATGGGGTGGTTGGAGGAAGTCCATGTAAAGGCTCGAACATATAAATAAATGAAAGGCCTTGTAAACAGTGGAATGTCAATCTTAATCTTTAATTTCATGGAATTAAAGCAGGTGTTCATGCTCTGAACTGTATAACCTAGAAGTAAACTAAGCCACGTGATTTTTAAAAGGGAAATGCCCTATCTCAGGTAGGTTTCACTTCTGTATTTCAGAAAAACTTCCCTTCTCCCAGGTTTCTGCTAAGCACTTGAAATTATTTTTACTGTGGGAAGAGATTGTCACACACCACCTCTTGGTATCATGATTTCTTTTGGCTCCTTGAACAGTGGGTTCTAGTTCAAGTCCATATGGTATGAATCTGGTGCAAAGACAGTCCCTAAAGCCCAATAACTTCTTATTT